GATTTGAGGAACTATTTTCAAGAAAATAGTGTGTAATCTACTAGCAGGTGATTTCTTATTTTGTTTTGTTTTGTTTTGTTTTGTTTTTGTAGTTCTGTATTGCGTGTACCCTTACGCCGCTTTGGTTTGTTTTGTGTTTTTCTCTTTTTCCTCTTAAATAAAAAAAAAAATTAAAAAAAAATATTGCTCCACTGACTTCTTCCTTACATGGTTTCTGATGTCAATTCATCCTTATTTATCACTTTTTATTTGTTACATGTTGTCATCCCTGCCTTTGTCCTACTGGCTACTTTTATGATTTTCTGTTTATGGTATTAGACAATTGGGTTGGTTTGGTTTATTTCACATTTCTTGTGTTTGAGTTTTGACATGCTTCTTGAATACATGGACTTCAAGTTTTCGTTAAATCTGGACATTTTGGTTTCTGTTTTTTCTGGTATTCTTTCTTTTTTATTTTTTGATTTTATAGAAAAGAGATAAAACAAGGTTTCATAACAAAATAAATAATAGAATAACAATAGCTAATACATTACACATTGTTATCTTTAAAGTAGTCACTGAGAGTACAAGATATAGGCATAAAAATATTCTCTGGCCTATACTAGCACAAACCTGTCTTGTCAAAACTAAGAGACACTAATAGCATAACTGACTTGTATTGTTTTCTTTTTTCTCTTCCTTCCTTTCGCCTTTCCCCCATCCTGGTTCCTTTTTCCTTTTTAGCAATATCTTCCCATTTCACAATATCTATTGTTTATGTTGGACTTTATTTACTCTTTCAGTTTCTCACACCTGGAAGACAATGTGATGTTTATACATGTGAATCAGATTTATTTCACTTACAAGTATGGTCTCAAGTTGCATTCATTTGCCTATTAAAGTCTCCATTTTATCCTTCTTAGGCTGAGTCGCACTCCATAATATAAAAATACCACATCTGTTTTTATTCATTCTTGGTTGATGCACATTTGAGTTGTTTCCAATATTTAATTATTACAAATTGTGCTGCTATAAATATGGGTGTACATATATCTCTGTGATACAATGTTTTTAATTCTTCTGGGAAGATATCTAGAAGGAGAATAGCCAGGTGGAATGGAACCTCTAATCCTAGCGTTGTGAGGAATCTCCGTACTGATTTCCACAGTGGTTGCACCAGTCTGCACTCCCACCAACAGTGGAGAAAGAATCCCTTTTAACCACATCCCCTCCAGCATTTGTTATTGGTTAATTTCTTCACAATACCTGTTATTCCTGGGTGGAGATGGAACCTCAGTGTTGTTTTAATTTTCATCTCTCAAATGACCAATGATGTTTAGCATTTTAAAAATATGTTTATTTGTATTGTCTTCATCTGAGAAGTGTATATTGATGTCAGATGCCTATTTTTGGATTGGCTCTTGAATTTGGGGAGTCTAATTTTTTCCAGTTCCTTATATAGTCTAGATATAAGCCCTTTGTCTGATGAAAAATAGGTTAAAATTTTTTCCCACTTTGTGGGGTGTCTTTTTACTCTGTTGATTTTTTTTGATGTACAAATGGTTTTTAATAAGGTGAGATTCCAGTTGTTGATCTTTTCAGTATTTCCCATGCAGTCTGGGTTTTGTTCTCTTCTAGTATTCTTTCTTTTTTCAGAGACTCCATTAATGTGTGTTGGAAAACCTGGATATTTCTCCAGCTCACTGAACCTCTGTTTATCTTTTAATCTTTCTCACTGTGCCTCATTTTAGAAATTCCCCATCTTCAAATTCACTAATACGGGTACTTTTTTTGACAAAGTCTTGGTATGTATCCTGGGTTGGCCTTGAGCTCACCATGTAGCCCAGATTGGCCCTGAATTTGAGATCATCTTCCTGTCTCAGCCTCCCGAGTGCTGAGATTACAGATGTGTGCCATCATGCCTGACCAATATAGGTACTTTCCAAATCTAATCTGCAGCCCACTTTGTAATCTAAGCCCATGTGTGCTTCAGTCTTTGAAGTTTTCATCTTTAGAAGTTGTATTGGGGTATGTTTTTCACCTTCCATATTTTTATGTAGTCTCTGAGCATATAGACTAGTAATGTAATTAATCTTTTAATGTATTTTTCAGCTAATTGATTATATCTGGGTCAATCTTTATTTACTGAGTGACTTATATCCCTTATTATAGATTGTTTCTTCCCTGTTTTTTTCATACCTGAAAATTTTTTATTGGATGTAAGACATCATGAATTGTATTTTGTTGAGCAATGAATATTATATATTACTGAAATTTGAGGCAGAGCTAAATTACTTAAAAATAGTTTGGAATACCTTTCAGGTATTCCTTTTAATATTTGTTAGGTGTGAGCAGAATGTGTTTCAATGTAAGGCTAATTTGTTTTTCATGCTGAGGCAAGACTCTTCCATGTATTTTACACAGTGTTCCAAATTTTTGGTCTGGATGCAGGAAAAGCACCGCGTTCATCCTTTTGTGAGCACCAGGCTCTATTACACCTCAGCTCTCTGGCTGCCTCGTTTCTTCACAAGTTCCTGCCGCTCAGTGCTCTGCTGAATACTGGAGCAGGACTCTTTACACTTGTCCTGAGTTTTCTTTCTGTGTAACTCAGTCCTGTTACTCTGTCCAGGAAATACCAGCTGTTTTGGGCTCTGGACTCTCGGGTGTGTCTTCTCAATTCTGAGGCCCACCAGGGTACCCTTTTCTGCCTTGTGGCCTGGGATCTCCCTGAAATAAGCAAGCTGGGTAAGCATAGTGCTTATTTCCTTTTGTTTCCGGTCTCTCAGTGGTTACTGCCTTTCACAGTCTGATGTTCAGAGTCTCACCAACTGTCATTTCATACATTTAATTTGTTTCCTTCATTGTTGCATGTGTTAGAATACATAAATCTGGTCATTTACTTTAACTTGGCCAGAAGGCAAAATCCCATCATGTATCTTAAAATTTTATTTAGAAAATAATGCCAGAATAAAATACTAGGTGAAATAATTGGTTTTACCTGCAATACATATACTCTTTTTACTACATGTCATACAAAATGAGATAATTTATAATCACATCCATACAACAACCAGATGACATATGATGACTCTAAAGCTGAGTGGAATGTGTTCTGCTTTAGATGCTGTCTTGATTACCTTCTTATTGTTAGGACAAAATATCTGACACAAGTTAAAGGAGAAAAGGCTTATTAGCTCACAGTTTCAGAGATTTCAGACCATAGTCATCTGCCTCCAAGGCAAGGCAGCATGGCAGAGGGCAACAAGTGAATGGCATGGCAGGCGGGAAGCAGTGAGACTGTTTCCTCTTTATTTCATCCAGGCTGCAAGCCTTTTCTTTAGTGCCACCCACCCCTAGGGCTGGTCTTCTGCCTTCCGTAAGTCTATCACACACCTATCCAGTATCACTCACCCATGCTCCAGTCACCCCCCAAAGTCCCACATATGACCACATGAGGATTGGTGGGGGTCATCTAGATACAAACTGTAACAGATGCATAATCCAATATCACCTTAAAATTTGACCCAGAATTCTAAACAATCTACCCATAAACCATACTCTCCAAAGCCATTGTGGCTTTTATCTGGATTCCTAAAGATAACTACAGTGACAAAACAAAGTGAGTGTGATACTATTTGCTAACTGAATGAATAGCTGTTCTCCAAGTCTCTGACAATGTTTAAAGTGTTTTCTTAAAATCTAATTGCTCTAATGTTAGTTTAAAATAGTTTCATCTTAGTTTGAAATATTTTTAAATATTTCAAATAGTCTCAATTAAAATTTTATGCAATATAATAAAAGTTTTAGGATGCACTGAAGTATAGGTCTTTATGTGTGTAAACTTTCTATCAATAAATATTTCAATAGGATGGGACTTGTTTTGTTTAAAATTTTAAGTAAACTGCATTTTAACAACATTTTTTAGTTTTATAGAAAATTTGCAAAGATAGTAATTTCCACGTACCTTGTACCCAATTTCTGTGTTGTTAACACATATTGACATTAATATAGTACATTTTAAAGTTAATGAACCAAAATAAGCAAATAAAATTAATGACTCAATATTAATACTTTATTATTAACCAGAGTCCATAGTTATTTGAATTCCATTGATATTAGCCTAATGTTTACTTTTGCTGTAAAATTCGATCCATGTTCCCCACATCATCAGTCTTCGTGTGTCCTATCCTCCTCTTAGCTATGACAGTTTCTTAGTATTATGTAGACTCTTTCTATATTTAGATTTATCTAGTTTGTTTAAATATCAGGATTAGACTACGATTATGGATTTTCAGGAAAATTAACAGAAATGAAGGACCATTTTCATCAGATCATAAACAGGCCACATAGTATCAGCATGACATCCTTGTTGATGTTAATTTTTTTTTTCTGAGACAGGATCTCATTATCTAGTCCAGGTTGGCCTTAAACTCACAATGTAGCCCAGGCTGGCCTGGAACTCAAGTTGTTTCTCCTGTCTCAAGCTCCCAAGTGCTGGGATGATAGGCATGTACCACCATGCCTGGCTGATGTTAAAAAACGGAAAATTCTATTTCATCTAATGAGCCTCCGGCAGAGTATTTACATCAACTACATGAAATTCTACATAGGAGATTTGTCTCTTCCGTTTGTTTATACTGCCACTGATGCAAATGCACTGCTGACTCATGGGTATTTATTCTACACTTTGGGTTATAATCCAGCATTTCCTAACTTTGTGTTGCACAAATTGTTCCAGTTTGGCCATTGGGACCTGTTTTAACTGCGGTGATACAGTATCTAAAACTACAGTGAAATCTTCCAATGACCCTTCTATCAAGTGATGATCTTGTTCTATAGGATTAAGTTGGGCACATAGGGAAACACACCTTTCTGATAGCATGTTAAATAATGTTCTGCTTGTCTGAAAAATAATTCATTTCACAGGTAGTAAGTTAAAGACTAGGGAGAAAAGTGCCCACAGTGTGGTAAATATTTTAAGAAACTAATGAAATTTAATAACAAACTGAAAAAATCCAAACCTTTTAAAGCAAATTTATAAATAGCCTCACATGCTTTAGCCAAAATTTCTTCTTCAGGAGAATTGAGCATTAACACCACAGTCGCTGCTTTTTTGCTCTCAATTGTTAGTGGGTCAAACTGAAATGGAAAAAAAGAAGCATTATATTCACATGCAAGCTTTTAAAATCACGTAAAAAATGAACAGGGTCTTAAAATTTAAAGAGGCCATAATCTGGCAGTGTTCTATGCTCAATAAGTGTTCTATGAAGATTTTGTTAAAAAAAAAACTGTTAAGAGAAACAATTACCAGCACAGTAGCCTTGGGATTCTTGGAGTGTGGTAGAAAAAGTGTTTTGGAATCTGACAAATCTAGTTTATTAATTTAACCCCATGGAATTAAGCAAAGTACTCAAGCACCTAGAATGTCAATTTATTTTCTCTACTATTGAAATGACCAATCTATCTCACAGAATCTAGGAGAGAATTAGAGAACATAAATATAAAATATCACACACAGCATAGATGCTCACTAAATAACATCGCATTGTTTTTCTTAGTCAGTACCCAAATCAGTGATTGCCTGTAGAAATTTGATGCTCTGATAGTTTCAATATTCAATACTTACATTCCAGCCACTAATGTTTCTTGGGGAATAGAAGGAATAACATAGGTGAAACAACAAAAGAAACAATAGAAAAGAACATGTAACAAAACACATACTTGGGCAAAATCCCGTACTAGGGAAATGGTAACATAAAGAAAAACTGTAAGACGAAGAAGACCTGTGTGCCGCTGTGAGACCTAGGGAATTTCACAGGTACCTGAAATCAACAATAAAAACTCATACTCCCTAGGCCCTAGGGACTTTGTGTGCTCAAGGGGAAACTCTTAAACTATTTTCTTCCATTTCCAGAAACTTGTAGGAGGAGTTCTGATTATGGTAAAGAGGAAACCTTGATTTTTAATTTTTCTTTCTTTCTTTCTTTCTTTCTTTCTTTCTTTCTCTCTTTCTTTCTTTCTTCTTTCTTTCTTTCTTTCTTTTTCTCTCTCTCTCTCTATCTCTCTCTCTCTCTCTCTCTCTCTCTCTCTCTCTCTCTCTCTCTCCCTCCCTCCCTCCCTCCCTCCCTTCCTGCCTCTCTCTCTGTCTCTCTGTCTCTCTCTCTTTTTCTGGTACTGGACTCATGACTTAGCACTTGCCAGGAAGGCATTCGTGCTGCTATGCTAAATCCCTGGCCCCAGGAAACTTGATTTCCAAGCTTTAGCTGATTCTTTATGTCGACTCTTCCTGTGTTCCAGGATATAAAGAAAACTGATGTTTACTTTTAGGGAAAAGACAAAAAGGTAGCGCTCTCTGAATATGGAAACAATTGTGTGAGGTTGGAAGAAAGAAGAAAGAGGAGGTGGCAGTAAGCAACAACTTGAAAAGATACATTCAGAACAAAGTTCCCCTTGGAGAAGAAATAGGTTGGGCTTTAGGACAGCACTATCTAGCACTCTTAAAAAGCTACTATGTTAAAAAGACACAGTGTGTTAAAAGACACACAAGTGTGTAAAAAGACACTTTGTCTGTGTCTGCCCTGGATCATGTAAGAGTTACTACACAAGTCATGTTTGCTCTTAGGCTTCTGAAACTCTTTTTGGAAAGACATCTCTTCACTAAAAGTCTGTCATATACTGTAAAGTTGGTGTCACTTAAGGGTTTCCAGTGAGATGAACCACAAGGAAAGGTGACTTTCGGTGGAGCCAGGAGCAATGGCTGGCACACTCACTTCAACACATAACAGGAGGGCAGGAGTCTTAGAAACCCACTTCTGGGTTTCCAAGGATTTTAAGGATTTTATTCCAAGATTTAAGGATTAAAATTCCAACAATTTTAAGGAAACACTTCTGAAAGCATCTGGAGCCAGAGCTTGAGAATCCTTTTAATGCAGCTGTCAAAGGGTGGCCCTCACATACCAGGCGACCTGTCTGGGGACATATGTGGCTCACTGAACATGGCATTTTCATCTAAAACATGAAGGAGTCAGATTACAGGACCTCTTCCAGATATAAACTAAGACTCTGTGACCTGCAGAAACATGGCAGAGACGACAAATATTGTGGTGAAGTGGGGCGGATTAATTTGAGTTGGGGCAAAGGGAGATAGTGCTCATAAAGATTGTAGAATTTTAGATACAATTTGAAGAATAAAGTGGACTACGCAAGGTAGGAAGAAGGATATTCAGATGGAGAAAAAACACAGGGAAGGTTTAAAATCAGAGTGAATGTTGTACTTACGGTGGATAAAATACTAGCTCAATTAAATATAAAATACAAGCCAGGAAGCAGAATAAGAGTGAAAATAAAAGATGATACCCTTTATTTTCTTGATTTTTAATGAAGATAATCAGCAAAATTCACAGGAGAAGGATTGTGACTATGTGTTTATATTTGGCAAAGTTATTATTTATGGGTAAGAAGGCAGATGGGCACAAACACAAAATATATCAACCCTACACTCTTCAAACAAATTACTCACATACTTGAGCCAAAATTAAAGAGGAAAAATTCTAAAAGCAACAGTGGTTGATCAACAAATATTCTAAAATGTAAACACAATGAATTTTGATAATATTGTAAGTCATACTACAATTCTCAAGAATTTCCTGAAATAATGATAATAATATAAAAAAGCTGCTGGGCATGGTGGAACATTCCTGCAATCCTAGCACTTGGGGGGCTGAGGCAGGTGGATTGTGGCAAGTTTGAGACCAGCCTGGACTACAAAGTAAGCCACAGCCAGCCTGAACTGCATAGCAAGACCCTGTCTCAAAAAGGAGGAAAAAAAATTATATATATATATATATATATATATATATATATATACTAGCAATTACTCAGAAATAAGAGTCTATTTGTTTTCAACAAAAAATGAGTAGAGGAAACTTACTAAAAAATGAGCATTGCCTAGTTATGTTTCATTTTACTGTTAATAGAAAAATGCAAGTTAAAGTATGTATATTTAAAAATAGACAACAGAAGAATAATAGAAGTTTCAAATACCAAAAGAAAGGTAAGCAAAGGAAAATTGCTCAATTTAGAAGATACAGAAGAAGCGCAACATGAAATATAGCACAGAAAAACTAAAACTTAAAATGGTAGAATAAAATCAAATATCAATACTTTAACAAGAAAATGGTAAATAAGACTGTCATATTAGATTAAAAAGAAAAATCTACTGTTTTTTGTGTTGTTAGAATTTTTTTCACTTGATCTTCCAGGATATTAATTCAGATCTCTCTAATAAACAGAGTATGCCTGACAATTTCATAAAACTCCTTTCCCAAACCTCCATATTTCTACAAAGCATAACAACTATTCTGATTTTTAAAATTATTAGTTAATTCTTCCTGCTCTTGGACATCATATAAATGGAATCATACAAGTACACTGTTTTATATCCTCACTTTCTAAACTTAGTGCAATGCCTCTGAGATTCATTTGTATTTTTTACCTCAGTAACTAAGTCATATTTTTATAGTTTTATATTATATGGCAGTTTGGATTCTCTTTTTCCTCAACTGGAAGCAATCATGAATAAAACTACAATGAATGTGTGTGTGTGTGTGTGTGTCGTATGTGTGCGTGCATCTGCATGTATGTGTGTACATGTGTATGTGTGTATTCGTTTCTCTTGGCTATGTACCTTGGAATGGCACACAAATATTGCATAACAGCTTTCCAACATGGTTTTAGAAACTTACATTCCCACTAGCTATGAAGGAGAGTTCCAGTAGCTCTATATCCTTGAGACACTTATTTTCAGTGTTTTGAAGTTCACTTGCTCTTCAGAAATGCCCCGCTGCTACCCACTATGATTGTATCCTAGATAGAAGCAGAAGTGTTCTCAGCTCTAATTCTGACTCAATACCATTCACACATTGCTGTAGCTTTCTGACTTCTGCCATTACTCTTGATATTGCACAAATTTGTTTTGTGCCTACTTCACATATGGGTTTCCTTTAGCATCAACAGTATTCAGGCTCTGATGACTTTTTGGCAGCCAACCAGCCAAAGGTGAAAGATATAGCTTGACTGGTCAGCTACTCCCCTCACACCACTGTTCTTTAATTTCATTTGGATCCACAATGCATTCTCATTTCTTCACCTTACATTTTATTGCACTTATATTTCATGATCTATTATTTTAATAACACTCTTGCTAAACCTGCAATCTGCTTGTCTTTTGTCTTTTTAACAAATTTTGGTCTTACAAAATTCAAGCCAGGAAAGAACTAGTATTTGCTTTCTTTGTATTTGCACTCAGGCATCCAACCACCCTAGAGAAGGTCAAACTCTAGAGGAAATTAGTATCACCATGAATTCATGATCAATAATTTCAGCTGTGCCTTACCGTAAATAATGAAATGGAAAGTTTCAAATATTATTTAGAGTGTATGGATAAATAAGTGCATGCATTTCTCAAAACTCTACAATACTTCATAATTCTCCTGTATATCTGATTTCCCTTTCTCCTCAAAAGTTAAGGAATTTCAAACCTTTATAATAGTCGTATGAACATTCATACTCCTCCTGCTTCCCTTTTCTCCCCTCTACATAGTAAAACTTGAAGAACAAAATGAAGTTATCAGATGTAAACTCCAACAACTTTCAAATTACAAACTCAAATCTACCCATATTTTCAAAATTTCTTCCAATATGTTAAAATGTTTTTCCTAGCATCTAAAGCCAATCCCCAGTGTATGTGCACTTTGGATTTTTAACATACTTATTTTAACTCACTCATTTGTTTGATATTCATTTGTTTAGTTGCTCCTAGGGGCCAAACATGAAAACTAGCATCATACAAATTAATAGAACACACTCTAAGTTTATGCTACTAATTGTAATCTCTCCCTCCCTCTCTCTCTCTCTCAAGTAGTCAGTGTTTATCAACTGTATTCTTTCCATTACTTCTCTCAACTTCATGGTATGAAAGGCCAGTTTAGATTTGATATCATGCACTTATTTTAAGAGTAAGTTTGATGAGTTTTGAGAAACATGTATATATATTGGCAACTTTTGTTGAACCAAAATATTCTCTCCTGCCTATTTGTGATTGGTTCCCCTTTCCAAGTCTCATGCCATGAAACCAATAA